GGGGAGCAGAGCGCAGAGGCTGGGAGGGGCAGTCTCGCCTGGGAGCTGGGCCTGCGGCAGCACCAAGCAGGGAGCAGCAAAGGAAGTGGTCACCCAGGTAGGCGGGAGGCCGAGGCAGGAGCATCTCTGCGAGTTCAAGGCTGCGGAGTGAGCCCGGGACCAGCTGAGCTACATGGAAAGACCCTGTGTCAGACATACTGAATCCCAAAAGAGCTCTCAGAGAGCCCGCGTCCACACGACGACGCATGACCTTGTGCACACGGCAACCCCTTTCCCGGCTGGTTGTTGAAACATCCGATTGCCCGGTGGTTTGGACTCGGTTTCTTCCATCTCGCCAGTCCCGGGACCCCCGCTCCCCCCAGGAAGGACGCGTGCGCCTCGTCGCAGGCTCGGTGCCGCCGAACCCAGGCCCACGGTCCACACCCGGGACGAGCCGCTCCCTCAGAGACCCGGGCCAGGAGGGAGGCGAAGCGCAGAGAGGCCCCACACCTGCCCTGCTGGGGCAGAGCACCAGACACCAGCACACGCCGGGAAGGGCCGGGGTCAGCTCAGCGGCACCGCACCGGCCCCGCAAGCGCAAGGTCCCGGGTTCGATCCCCGGGCACCAAAGAAGACAGAAGAGGGTGAAATGGAAAGACCTGAGTTCGTCTTTCCTGGCGGACGGGCCAGGGACACCGCCTACTGCTGCCCCCACTGTGACAGCGCTCCTCACGCATCCTAAGCGGAATCATAGCTTCTGTCTATTATTTTCTTATTTTACTTAGTTTTGCTTTGATACAGGGTCTCGCTATGTATCCCAGGCTGACCTGGAACTCACTACATAGCTCAAACTCTCAGAGATCCTCCTGCCTCAGTCTCCCAGATGCTGGGAGGTGTGCACCACCGCACCCAGCAACCTATGTCTATTTTATGACTGATATCTTTCATCTATCATAAAAAGTCATTTTTATCATTTAAAAGTCCAAGCACGCCAGCCAGGGACAGAGATGCACACCTTCATCCCAGCATGGGGGTGCCGAGGCAGGAGGATCAGCAGTCCAAGCCCAGCTTGGGCAACTTAGTGATATAGTGAAACTCCATCTTGAAATAAAAAGTAAGAAAGACCCAAGGTTCAGTCCCAGAACCAAAACAAAATGAAAAAAAAAAAAAAACCCCAAGGAAATGAAAAAGAAAAAGGTTTCCACACTGGAAATCAAACAAGACTGATTAAAATACTTTTTTTTCAACCAGGTGTGGTGGTGCACGCCTGTAATCTCAGCCCTGGGGAGGCTGAGGCAGGAGGATCACCTTGAGTTCAAATGTGAGCTACTGGTGAGGCTCTGTCTCAAACAACAACAAACAACATTTTCTTTAACCCTGGCTGGCTCCGTCTCCAGGCCCACATCGATCATTAAACCTCTGCGGCTCCCTCCTCCCTCTGCAATGGGACCCACTGTGCCTGCGGGGCAGTGGCTGGGCTGACTGGGGCCACAGAGATAACCTGGGGCCCGGTGCTGACAATGCAACCAAAAAACCAAACACAACAAACAAACTCATAGGTTTAGCAAGGAAAGTACAAGTTGCAGCTCGAGGTCATGTTGACAGCTCAGCGATTGTCAGCAGTGCTGGGGACGAACCCAGGCCGGAGCGGGGAGGCCGGGCCCCTTTCACGGTTTTATTTACATTATTGCCCCTGTTGTTACTCATTTACAACACTGGGGTTAGAAGCCGAGGCTGCACACCCGGCAGACACCACGCCCCAGCTCCCTGCTTTTCTTCTGAACTTTGGGACAGCGACTCACTAAATTGCCAAACTGCCCAGGCTGGGCCTGAATCAGGGATCCTCCTGCCTCAGCCTCCCGTGCGGTAGGAAGACAGGCCTGTGCCACTGCACCCGGCTGGGATTTGAGTCCTGAGATCTGGTTTTGTCAGAGACAACAACCCAGGTCAGAAGGGCAGAGTCCCAAAAGCACAGCTGTGCAGCTTCGTGTCCTGCAGGCCACAGTGGGCCACATCGTGAGACCCCAGGACACAGCGGAGCCGGGCGGATTGGCCCTGGGCCCCGAGCTCCCGCACAGCACCTGCGTTTCCTCCAGGGTGCCGCTGGGCGTAACCTGAAAATCTTCTGATGCTCGCTCATTCGAAGGGAGGCTGTGTCTTATAGGAAATGATTTCCCTCAGCAAATCGCCTTTTGTTTTGTGTGGTTTTTTTAAGTCAGGGTCCGTCATGCAAGCCCGGCTGGGTGGAGCTAAGGGTGACCCTCCTGTCTCATCCTCACCAGTGCTGGGGCTACAGGCGTGCCCACCAGGCCAGGCACAACCTACTGAAGGACACGGAAAGGGGACGCTGTTGACAACCTGCAGCAGCAGGGCAGCGGTGTGGGCTTGGAGGAAAAGTACAGACTGGGCACAGTGGTGGCCGCCTGTCACCTGAGCCCTCGGGAGGCTGAGGCAGGAGGGTCGCAGAGTTTTGGGCCAGCCTGGGCTGCACAGCGAGGTCCTCTCCCAAAACAGAAAGCAGCCAGTAAGGAAGGAAGCTCTTGCAGCTGCCTCAGTTCCCAGCAGCCCCCCCACCTACTTCTCATACAGCCGCTGACCCCGCACGAAGGCCTGGACCTCGGCGTCCCGCGGGAAGGTGCCATCGTCCTTGCGGAAGCGGTAGAAGAGCTTGACGTCCTTGAACTCCTTGTGCTCATCACACACTGCGGGAGGGGACAGCACTCCGTGAGGCGGCCTCTGGCCTGGGGTGACTAACGCGCCCAGCGAGAGTTGGCCTCAGGGATGCGGATGCCAAGCTGAGCCAGGTGGTGGCGCACAGGAGGCTGAGGCAGGAGGGTCACCAGCTGGGGCTACACAGCGAGACTCTCCCCGTCTCAAAGGATCAACCACCAAAGAAGGTGCAAAACCCACACCTGCGGGCCCGGGTGGGCCACGGCTGGGAAGAGGCTCGAGGAGCTGTTTAAAGCTTTTACTCCTCCCCGGAGATCTGTGCGGAGCCCCGCCTGGCCCTCACCGTGGTGCACGATGCCCCGGTCCGCCAGCTTCTGCATCAGCGCCACTGCCGTCTCGCGGTCTGCAGCCTCCCTGTGCTCGATCAGCCAGTCAATGAGCTCCCGGGCCACGAAGCAGTTGGGGTAGGTCTTGAGGTGGTGGCGCCGGTCCTTGATGACCTTCTCCTCATGCAGCCTCAGCCTGCGGAGGGCGGCGCTCGTGAGGACTCTGTGTGCCGGGTCCCCGGGGCTGGAGACCACGTGGGCGGACACAGACGGGGTCTCACTGCGGCCCGTGATCGCACAGCGATCCTCCTGCCTCAGCCTCCCGAGCGCCGGATGACCGGCGTGCCTGAGTTCACAGCTAGGTGCCTGTGGGCACCTGTCATCAGCCAGCTGGAGGGTCAGAAGTTTGGGCCCCGAGTTCGAGTCCAGCCTGGACCACAGGACACGACCCGGGTGGCAAAACAAAACATCGCAGCACCGCCAACAGAGGCTCCCTCGGATTCGGGCGAGGCTCCCATGTGAGGAGATAGAAATCTGAGGACAGGCAGGGCAGTCAGCACCATTATTACACGAATTACAAGCCGCAAGGACAAATGACAGGGCTGAGGACGCAGTTCCCGCTGAGGCAGTGACACAGGAAGCAGCAAGCGCTCACTGCCGGACTGCAGCTAAGGCTGAGCCCCTCCCAGACCTGGGGCTGCCTGGGGCGGCTTCAAGGAGGAAAAGGAGGCTGAGGCAGGAGGATCGCTGAGAGCTCGAAGCCACTTGGGCTACAGTGTGACCCTGCCTCAAAAAAATTAAAAATTGAAGAAAACCCCCTTTAAAAATCAATGGGAAGTCTCATAATTTAGAAGGAAAGAGGAAGAGTTGGCACCACAGGGGACAGACACGTGTGGTGGAAGCTGGGCACGGAAAGCCGCCAGTGGCGCGGGCAGAGGAAGCTGGGGCCACACTGCATGCGGCGTGGTCTCCTCACTCCCCACCTTGCACAGGGGCCTTGTCACTGACCTCGAACTCACAGGGATGCTCCTGCCTCAGCCTCCTGAGAGCCAGAATTCCAGGGGCACCACACTTCCGGAGCCAGTGGGAGCCGGGTGGAGGTCCGGGAAGAGGAAGCGGGGGCAGAGCCCGAGCGGAGCTGCCCCAGGACCAAATGGACCAGCAGCCAGCGCCATTCCCAGCCAGGGGGGCCACTGTCTACACCGCGAAAGCACTCAGGGCTGCCAGGCTTGGGGACTACTGGACCGGCCTGCAATCCCAGCACTCTGAGGCCGAGGCAGGAGGATCGCCAAGGGTCTGAGGCCAGCCTGGGCTCTGAAGACCAAACACAGTACCAGTGTCTTCCGGAGCCCAGGGCTGTCAGGTCTCCCTGAGCGACAGCACAGGCCTTGGCAGACACAACCAGGCGGTTATTGTTGTTGTTGTTGTTGTCTTGAGACAGAGTCTCGCTGTGTAGTCCCGGCTGGCCTCAAACTCGAGGGGACCCTCCCGCCTCAGCCTCCCTCCCGAGTGCCGGATTCCAGGATGTGCCACCGTGCCCAGTAGACTCAGTTTCCTCAAAGCACAGCCCCCCAGGAATAAACTCACTTCCCCAGCAGAGCAGAAAAGCATTTGTCTACTGTTTGTTCCGTTTTCCTTAGGGTTAGGTTTTCAGGTCCCAGCCCAGGCAACATAAAATTGCAGCCAGGCGCCCCTCACGGCGGGACTCGCGGTGGCTTTGGCTGAAGACCCCAGGCACCGAGGAAGCCGGTTATTAACTGCTGTCCCGACCCAGGCGGGAAGCCAGGGCCACAGCTGCTACTCAGCGTGCTAAATGCCAACAGGTCCACCTGGTTTCAAAAGTTAAGCTGAGCTCGGTGGTGCACGTCTCTCATCCCCAGCACCCAGGAGGCTGAGGCAGGAGGATCACCCTGAGTTCAAGGGCAGTCTGGACTACAGAGTCTAAAAAAAAAAACAAACAAACCAAAACCACTTTAAATAAAAAGGCAAATAAGTTTATCCAACAGAGGACTTTAAGTCAGGAGAGCTATGCTTCTGTTTCTTTGTTAGAAACTTCTACAGGAGGCCAAGTTTTGACCCCTTTTAACCTGGATCACACTTGTTTCTTACTATTTTTCCTGTGCTGTTTTGAGACGAGGTCTCACTATGTAAACCGCTGGGCCTTGAACTCACAGCAATCCTCCTGCCTCAGCCTCCCAGGGCAGGATGACAGCGTGGGGCTGGGCCACACACTTTCAAACTCAACCAGGATCAGAGCTGGGCCTTCCCCTAGGCAGGCTCAGCCTGGCGAATTCTGTCTCCCACAGTTCCTTCCTCCCAACCCTGCCCCTCCCCCTGGGCCCTGCTCCTCCGAGCCACGGAGCCCAGCCAGGAGCAATCCTCCTGCCTCAGCCTCCCAGGGCAGGATGACAGCGTGGGGCTGGGCCACACACTTTCAAACTCAACCAGGATCAGAGCTGGGCCTTCCCCTAGGCAGGCTCAGCCTGGCGAATTCTGTCTCCCACAGTTCCTTCCTCCCAACCCTGCCCCTCCCCCTGGGCCCTGCTCCTCCGAGCCACGGAGCCCAGCCAGGAGACAGCGAATGATTTATGGCCATGCGGGGGGCAGCTCCAGGGCCAGCCTGGACACACACGCTGGGTTTTGCCTTGTTTTACTTTTGAGACAGGGTCTCTCTATGTAGTCCAGGCTGGTCTCAAACTAGCTGCGACCCTCCTGCCTCAGCCTCCCCAGGGAGGGCTGGGGTCACAGGTGTGCGCCCCACGCCGGGCCTGATTCCCAGGGAAAAGGACAGGTAGGAAGGAGGGAGGCCCCGGAGTTGGGCTTGGCCCGGGTCGTGACACCGGCCAAGTGCTATTCTCCAGCAGCCAGTGCCAAAGCCGCCCTGCAGACCCGGACGTAGCTCCACCATGGCCTCCTGCGGACGCAAAGTAAGACTGAAGGTGTGCCACGACGGCCAGGGCGCGGGGGGCTCTTCGCGTGGAACCGGCACCAACGACCACAGGGCGCGCCCCGTGGACTCCGCCGCTTCTGCGCCTCTGCTGTCCCAAGACGGGGTCTCCTGGGGCAGCGCAGGCGGGCGC